TTTGTATAAATGATACTGGATTTTGCTAAACTGCATGTTGACTCATTCTAAGCTTTCCAAATTATTTAGAAAGGATGTCAGCATATTGATAATACTTGTTATCTTTTGTAAAGAACAACATGCTTTCTTTTTCTTTTTTTTTGTACTGGGGATTAAATTCAGGGGCATTCAACCACTGATCCACATCTCCAGCTATATTTAGTATTTTATTTAGAGACAGCGTCACACTGAGTTGCTTAGTACCTCACTTTTGCTGAGGCTGGCTTTGAACTTGTGATCCTCATGCCTCAGACTCCCAAGCCACTGGATTACACATGTGTGACACCACACCCATTTGAACATGCTTTCTTAAGGGTACTTCGTTATCCTGTTAGGCAATTTTGGAAATGTCCCAAAAGATAACAAAAGAGCATAGCCAGGCACAGTGGCACATGCCTATAATTCCAGCTATTCATGAAGCTGAGGCAGAATTGTAACTTAAAGGCCAGCGTGGGCAACTTAACACTGTCTCAAAATAAGGTGAAAAAGTCTGGGGATATATGTAGTTCAATGGCAGCGTGTTTGCAGTGTTTGCCCAGCATTGCAAAACAGAACAAAAACATAATAAAGAGAGAAGAAAATTCAAGAAAGTTACCAGCACTCCTAGAAAACAGGAATCAAAGATCTTACATGAATCAAAAAGAATATAAAAAGAAACCCAAAAAGGAACTTTACCCACCTAGACTTTCTCCTCAAGCCCAACTCTCGCCCTACGCTTATCTTACCAGGAGTATTAGAAAGTTTCCAAGAAAATGGAAAGTCTGAGTAAACCAGAGTCAGCAGGAAACCAAGTTCTTCAACAACTGCTCATTACCTAATCTGAACACCCAAATAAACCACAAAAAAAAAAAAATCTCTAAAAACTAAAGTACATATTTTACAGCTATTCAAGTGTCTAAAAATTGCATTAATATTTACATTAACAAAAAGGAAATATTCCATCATCTCCTTTTTTTTTGTCAAAAGCTATCATAAATGGTAAAGATAAATAAAAAAGATAGTCACCCATTTCAGCACATGCTCCAACTACACTGGCTTACTTATCACATTTTTGGACTTACTGATCACATGATGGCTGTGACTACCTCAGGGAAAGCTCTCTGGCTTTGTGCCTCCATTTCCTCACATACCCTGTTCTACAACAGAGAATCTGTGTAATGCATTTATTATTTATAAAAATACTATTAAATGGCAGTCAAAATATTAAGCAATTATCAGTCTGAAATATACTTGAACTGAATGAAGAGCCACTAAATAACTACTCAGTTTCTTCACATTTTGGTTTGGGGACAGATGTACAGGCAGTAGTAGCAGGACACAGATGGACACTAGATAGGATGACATGGAAGGAGACCTGCTATTTCTGAAGGATGAAACAAATCAGAAAAGATGGGTTAAAAGATGTTGAAATCGGATGTGCCAAGTTTTCTGCTAGAGTGTATGACCTCTTCTTAAGTAAGGGCACTAAAAAGAGTGGTGAAGATATTTTGGTTTTTGGTCCCCAGTAAAGTCAAGTTTATCAAGGAATCTTATCACAGGTAAAAGGATAAAGTCACAATGATCAAACACCATTGTATTATATCATTACCAGACACTAAGAAATACCCACTGGTCAGGTGGCAGCTACACTGGAGTGTAACATTAACAGCTAATCTAGGGCTGGGGTCAAGGCTCAGCGGTAGAACAATCCCCTAACATGTGGGAGGCCCTGGGTTCTATCCTCAGCACCACAAATAAATAAAGTTATTTAAAAAAAAAAAAATTCAAGACTTTTTAAAAAAATAGCTAATCTAAAAATTAGAGACCCAAATTCTAATCCCAGAGCTGTGTCACTAAACTAAATAATATAACTTTGTTATATAACTATTCCTGAGATTGAGCTAAAGAATAGGAAGATCATCTGTAAGTTTCTTTCCACTTTTCCAGCTACCACTATTTTACAGATACATACACGTGAATTCGTAAAATTTTGCCTAACAATTAGAGGCAAAGTGTGTAAAGTCCACACAATTATAACCAATGGCATTCTATAGACAACAGCGTATTAGAAGCTCTTGGATGTATTAAGACATGGCTTTAAAATGTGGAAAATTAATTAGGTAAAAATGCATTAAATCAATTTACTAACAAGATTAAGTTTCGGGGGGAAATCCAACCATTACCATCATTGTTATTTAATCTATCACTAAAAAATATATTTGTGTTAATTAATTTTAAAAATATATGCTACTTAACTGAGGTTCTACACAATGATTTTACTTAATTTTTTGCAGTGCTGGAGATGGATATTGGATCCATACTAAGATTAGGCAAGTGCTCTACCAATGAACTACCCCAGCACCACCTATTTTGAATTATTAAAAAAGATTAAGGATGACAGATACACATAAAGGAAGCCTAATTTTTCTTACCAGTGACTCTTCCCCCAAAGTAAATCATTCTGCTCATTTCTTCTTAAAAGAGTATGTATTTGAAATATTAGCATTTTAGAATCTTCAGTGGGATTTCAGTAAAGAATCACAGAAAATGATTATTCTTTCTTTTTTTGGGGGGGAGGGGGGTCAGAGGAGGTACTGGGGATAGAATCAGGGGTGCTTTACCACTGAGCTACATCTCCAATCCTTTTTATTTTGAGACAGGTCTCACTAAATTGCTAAGACAGACCTTAAACCTTCAATTCTCCTACTTTAGCCTCCGGAGTTGCTAGGATGTGTGCCACCACTCCCAGCAGAAATTATTATTTTTTCAATATAAAATTTTGGGCCGTATTTTCTAACATAAGTAAAACTGAGCAACTTCAGTAACATGTTGCATCTTTAATTTCAAACTAATATAATATAATTGACAATCTTTAGGAAAACACTGAACTATTATTTTGATTACACCTATTGAACCCATTATTAAAGAAAAATTTGACACATCTTCCTTAAATTCTAGCCATTTTTTTTCACATCTGGTTTGACTTTAACACACTTCCACCTACTGAAAGTGAAAATGACTTCATTCTCAAGTTAATTTTTAATCCAGACAGCTTATATTTTAAAATAACAAAGTGAAACAACCCAACGAAAATAAAGACTCTCTCTGAAATCCTCAGAATGTAAAACCTGTGCATTATCCTTTGAGATTAACCAAAGGTAAGCAAAATTAATTTATAAAAGCTTTTCTCTAAGCTCCTTTCTTTAAAACAAAGGCTAACTGTAGAGAGCTATTAACACATTCAATGGACTGGGGTTGTAGCTCAGTGGTAGATCACTTGCCTTGCATGCGTGGGGCGCCACATTAAAAACAAATAAACAGGGATGGAGATGTGGCTCAAAGGGTAGCGTTCGCCTGGCATGCGTGGGGCGCTGTGTTCCATCCTCAGCACCACATAAAAATAAAATAAAGATGCTGTGTCCACCGAAAACTAAAAAATAAATATTAAAAAATTCTCTGTTAAAAACAAAGATATTGTGTCCACAACTAAAAAAATATTTAAAAAACCCAAACAAAACAAAACAAAAAAAAAACACTTTCAAGGGCAAAGAACGTCTATAGGAAGGCCTGCTCTAAACTAGAATAAAATTAACACATTTTGGTTATCTAACACAAAAGGCAGCAAAAAACATTGAAAAGACTAATAAGCATGTCAGAAGTTCTGGTTTCTGGTTGTTCTATTTAAATCCTAACTTTCTCACTTGCAATAAAGGGAAATTGTAATGACCTCTAAGGTCCCATTTCAGCTCTTCAGTATTTCAAGATACCTATGGTCAAGTTTTTAGTTGCTTGAAAACAGTAACAGAAAACTAAACTAATTACCCCCTTCCCACCAGACCATTCTTTGTCAAGCAAAGCTTGAGTCTTATTTATCTTATTCTTCCAATCAAAAAAAAAAAATTAAATTAAAAAAATAAATAAAATAAAGGAGACATATTTAGTGTTTGTGCATCTTCTAATCAGACACTATTAATCATTTCTTTTAAAATTAAATTACCTACCTCACTGGGGTGTTGTGAGGATTAATTCATTAGTGTTTGTAAAGCACTTTGAGATCCTCAGGTCAAAGGCGCTATAGAAGTGCAAAGTAGTAGTATTATTACTAGATTCTTTGCTTATTTAAGGAATTTCACAATCCTTTAAAACCTGTGTTGATTTAGACATCTATTTGTAAAAATCTATTATTTATCCATATTACTTTAAATTCTTTTTTAATATTATAGATAGACAGGGGTAGATGTTTCATAACAATTAATTTTAAAGGTCAAACTCTAATCTACAAATGGAGGGAGAGTTGAGGAAAATCCAGTGTGACAAATTTTGTTCAGCATAAAATTTTAGTAAGAGACCCTGTCAATCAGTGTGCCTAAGGTGAAAAACAAAGCAAAACTGCACTTTAATCATAGATTCTACAATGAGAAATTCCTTTCTTTAAGAGGAAAGGAAACAATATCCAATCAAGTCGCTTTAAAAAGCTAGCACTACCCTTGTAAATTATTTACATGCATATGCGTGCAATTGGCATTTAAACCTCTACATTTAAATCACATACTAACAGTTTTAGTATGAACTAATATCAAAATAATTGAGCTGCTTTTTTAACTAGCCTCCCACCTTCAATTACATAAAGCAAACTAAGCGCTGAGAGGAGGTCAAAGCAAATTTGCTTTATGGAATTAAGAGGAAACCCAAGGGTCAAAGCTTCTAAACTGGTTAAAATCTTGGATTATTCAACCACTCCACCCTCTTTTCTAACCAAATCATTTTACAATTAAAGCTGTTGTGTTTTTAAAGTGAAACAACACACATACATATACACACAAAGCTAAGAGAACCAGAATATCTATATATTGAACGTTCTACTCAATAAATAAACACCTCTTCTTAAACATTCCAACATCCTCTGTTGAGCTTCTCCAGTGCAACACAAGCTCCAGTTAAGATGGAACTGAAAATCAGATATTAAATTTTTAAACACTTACCTCCTGCTCCTGTTGAAAGATGACAACTCTACCACCTTTATCTCCTGTTGCTAGTAATTCTCCAGAATGATTAAATTCTACTGTAGAAATTATATCTGCTGTATAATTAGAACAAAAACAAAAGACATTAGTTTGTTTTCCAATTCACTAACTTCAGAGCTGAGCATGTTTCCTGACAAATTCCAAGTCTATGTATCAATTCACCAACGGAAACAATGAATTTTAAGTTCTTTCAAGTATATTTTAATCCACTAAAAAAGAAAAAAATCCCCCATAGTAACCAACTTAAAACTATTTTAACAAACAGAAGCACAGCGAATAATAAATTAATGGTTTATTAATATTTTACTAAAATTTGTGAATGCAAAGAAATCAACAACTTCTGTAACATTCTATGAGAGAATGATCAAATACAAAATAATAGTTATCTTGCTAATCTTCTAACTATATATCTTTGAGAAACTTGGGTTTGCCTGATTTTGGGATGCTGAGGATCACAGCCAGGGCTTCAGGCATGCTATGCAACTGCTCTACCATACTCCCACACCCAAAAATGACCTATAAAATATTTAAGGCAGCTATTACTAGAATGAGGGTAAAATTGAAAATGTAAAAATAATTTCAAATGGAACTGTAATAGTCATAAATTCAAATTTTATCCTCAAAAGTTAATAAACAGAACTTACTTAGAATTCTGAACATTTAAACAACTCACTCAAGTCAAAAGAAAACTATTACGTACACAGGATTAGGCTGATAATATAAATTTAAGAATAATAAAAACTATCAATATTTGGGAATACCTTAAGATTATTTAAGCAACTATAAAATGCTTTTAAAAGGCAAACGGTGATACAACAATGTTAGAGTCTTAAACTGAACTTCATGCTTGGCCCAGTATGACAGGATACACATCAACTGAATTCTCACAAACCGCCAACAATTAAACGCCAAAGAAAAATAACAGCTTTTAAAAGGAGAATCTTTCCTAAAAAGATTTATTTAAAAATGCTATTTTGAGGGGCTGGGCCTGTAGCTCAATGGCAGAGCGCCTGACTATCATATGTGAGGCACTGGGTTCGATCCTTAGCACCACATAAAAATAAGCAAATAAAGGCAATTCTGTCCATCTCCAACTACACAAGAAACTTTTTTAAAATGCTATTTTGTTATAGGTACAGTTCAGTAGTAGGGGGATTGCCTAGAGTTTGTAAGACCCTGGGTTTGAACCCTAGTGCTGCAAAAAGAAAAAGGAGGGTATTTTACAATGGGAAAAAAATAAAAAATCCACCCTATATTAATCTTATAAAAAAAATAGTCTAATATGGGGTTAATAAACAGAGAGAACCTCCTCTCAGAATAATTACTTTCTTTTGGGGGTGGAATGGTAACTGTTGGTGATGGTGGTGGGAAAGACAATATCAGCATCACTGGTTTAATTTTTACCTCATTGTCATCCCTTTTTGTCACCTACCTTCTCTATTTCTTTTTGCAGAATAGGACACAATCAGATAGCCAAGGAAGGGCTCAAACATATAATGAGCTCATGTTAAAACTCAGGTGAAACATTTAGATAGTATATAGAAATGATAATTAAAAATAACTACGGTATATTAATTGTCCTTGACATTCTTTAAATCCTTCAGTTCTTGAGAGTCGTGATACTTTACAAAGATACTCATTGATTTTATAAATTCCATTTGAGAATTATGTTCCAAATAAATGATTTCAATGAAACAATCATGTACAGATATGATTATAACTGTATTACTCTACATATATATTTTAAAGAACCACACAATTAAGAAATGTAAGAGTACCCCACAGTCACAGGCTGGAAAGCTATGGTCCACTGCCTGTTTTTTTTTTTTTTTTTTTGGGGGGGGGGTGGTACCGGGGATTGAACTCAGGGGCACCTGACCACTGAGCCACACCCCCAGCCCTATTTTATATTTTATTTCAGACAGGGTCTCACTGAATTGCTTAGTGCCCCACCATTGCCGAGGCTGGCTTTGAACTTACAGATTCTCCTGCCTCAGCCCCCTGCGCTGCTGGGATCACAGGCGTGCACCACAGTGCCTGGCTTACTGCCTGTTTTTGTAAATGATATTTTACTGGGACCCAGCTCAATCTATAAGTAGTTGGAGACTGAAGATTTACTATCTGGCCATTTACAGAAAATGTCAACCCTTGTTTGTGCATCTGGACACTGACATTAACAAATATGGTTTGTATGGATACAAAGACAATGAACTAATGTCAAAAGAAAACAATTCAAAGGGACATGTACAACCATGATGTACATGTGCTCGATATTTATATACAATTCTACTATTAATCTTCATAACACCACTATAACATAGATATTATTTTCAATTTAGAGAAAAGCAAAGGGATGCTCAGACAAAGTAAATAACTTGCTGAAGAAAAATACACATAACTATTAGGCTTCAGAGCCAGTATTCAAATTTAGCAGGTATGAACAACTATATGGATAAGGAAGCAGCACAGGATTTTGCAAATCACTGAATGATGACCAGTGGAATAATATAGAAATGTTCAGTTTATTGCCTCTTTTTCATTATTAAAATGCCTGTGTTCAAGAAAATATTTAGAATTAAACATCTTTATACGACTTACTAATGACCACAAGCAACTACTGCCTATTCCCTACAGTAAAGTTTTGAGTACTTAATTCAGCACCTCCTACATTCAAAGCACTGGGTGATACATGTTCTAAAGTCTACCCTCCTAAAGAGGCTTACAAGAAAGAACTAGAGCCACAATAAATAAACAGTTTAAGATTAAGTATACATTTAAGAAAATCATTATGAAGTACAGGACTGAGTAAAGAGAAGGAGTAAAAGAGAGTGAGCCATATGTTGGCTCCAGGAGTATAATAAAACAAAATAATCAATTGTGAAATAAAGTCTAAGAAATAAAGAACTTGTAAATACTTAAATAAGCCTCCCCTTTTTAAAAATAAAAACAGGCGTACACACACTACGATCCAGCTACACTGTTAGCCCCAACCTTTCATACCTGGAAGGAAATTCATTTATTTCTCGATAGACTGAATCTTTAAAAATAATAATAATAATAATAATTTATTTCCCATAAAGCTTAACCAGGCAATCAGTCTCCTCTAGTTTTGAATGAGAAGAAAAGTGAACAGAATATAGGAAACAAGTGTTTTCAGACAATGGGCACTATGGCGCATAGGATTGCGAGCCCACAGGAGGAGGAACAGAAACCGAGCCCTAATATCCACTGCAGCTTACTGACTGGAATGAGCTTCCAAGACAAGGTAGTAAGTCAGAAAAATCCAGAGACCACCAATCTCACTGGGTCTAGAGACAGAAACTAGGAATTTTGAGAAAGCTGAAGTAGCCAGAAGGATGGGCAGAGTAACCCAAAGGATAGATACTGTACAGAGAGTTAGAGGGATCTACCTTGAGAATCTTAGGCTGAACATGGATCTGGGCCTTTGTGGAGCTTTCCTAAAAACCTTAAAATAAAAAATAAAAAAATAGGGCTGGGGATGTGGCTCAAGCGGTAGCGCGCTCACCTGGCATGCGCGCAGCCCGGGTTCGATCCTCACCACCACATACAAACAAAGATGTTGTGCCTGCTGATAAATAAAAAATAAATACTAAAATTCTCTCTCTCTCTCTCTCTATCTCTCAAAAAAATAAAATAAACCTTTAAAAAAAAAAAAATAAAAAAAGATCTGACTAAACTCAAATAATTTAACTCTGTGCTAGAAGAAAATCCAATATTCAATATATTCAACAGCATAAATTGACCATGTCTGGCACCCTACTTAAAATTACCTGGAATGTGAAGAGGCGGGAAAATATGAACTACAACCAGAAGAACACCCAACAGAAACAGAGCCTGAAATGGCACAAATGATGAAGGTCCTAGTAGATAAGGATCTAAAGCAGGGATTGGAAATATGTTTCATGTTCAAAAATGAAACATGAACGACAGAAATTAAAGATAAAAAAGACAAAAAAAAAAGGGGGGGGGGTGGTTGTGGTGGTGATGTGGCTTCATGGCAGAGCACTTGCCTAGCATGCATAAGGCCCTGGGTTCAATCCCTAGAACTGTCCCCTGCTCCCACAAATTGAAAAGTTAGTTGGAAATGAAAGATTTGAAGATATGATGACTAGGATTCATAGACGAGATACTATAGCAGAAAAGATGACCTTGAAGACCTAGTTATAAAATAAAAAATGAATGATGTAAAAAGGAACAAGGGGGAAAAAAAAACCCTCAAGACCTGACTTGTGGGATGACATCGAATGTTCTAACATGCATCCCTATAGCCTTGGGTGGAAAAAACATGGGAAACATTTTAAAAAATGATGACCAATATGTATATAAATGCTCAAGCAAGATGATACTCTATTCTCTACTATGTAAGACAACTAACACAAAAGGGTTAATACATATTCTAAGTGCAAGCTTATACTGGCATGTAGTAGTGACAAATGAAAGCCTTTTAGCAGCCTTGAATTGGTGATGTGACTTTGCAAAATTGTGAAGAACTCTGTAAAATTCCAGTACTTCAAATATAATCTTCCCTTGTTTACACAGTAAGCTATAGGTTATCCATTAAACCTATACCCTCTGCTTACTCCAAAGAAACCCTTCATAATAATATTATATAGTAATAATATAGGTTTGGATTTCAGGCTTAGAAAATTTAAAAATTTTTTTTCCAGCATCATGAACATTTTTTTAAGAATATTCTAAGTCATGGAGACCAAGGAACAAATTTATGGTCCTGCAAACTGCCACACTTGGACCAATAATGTCCCCAATAACTGACAAAATTGTGTTTTTTAAAAAGAGGAATTTAATAGTAAAAAAGGTCTTTCCTATTATATGTATCAATTAAAGCTAGGTTTAAAAATTCAAATCATAAATCTTTGTATGCTCAAAGATTTTTCTTGATAATTTCAGGGTTATTAAGAATAGAGCTGACAAAAATCTAGAAGGTTGACACACCCCCTTTGTGACTGACAAGATTAAACAAGGAGAGAAAAGTAGATGGGACCAGGGAGGGAAAAGGGATAGATCCTAAAATTAT